CAATCCCCAACAAAATCTCTTTGTTTACATCTGAGATATAAGTTCTGGAAAGCCAAGTACAATTTGCTTGAAAATCTGAAAGAGTTTTTATTCCTGACTAGCAGAACGGAAATTATAGGTTTTTTTAATAGGGAGATACATAATTAAACACAACACACTGATAGACCAACGGGCTGCATAGGCAGATCATGATCGCATCGCTTTTTTAAACCTAGTGTAACGGGCAAAGCTTTTATGCAAATCACAGAAAGGTAAAGGGGTTCGTGTACGGGTTGCATGTGTTGTTTTCTTCGTTTTTTACCACTGGTATTCGTTCAGAGACATTGCAAAAGGACGGTAACATTACGATCTGTCTTCAACGAGGACCAAAACATCTGTTATGCTTCGGTAACGAGAGACAGTGGTTATTGAAGGACTAGAATCAGACTACAGTGGTTCCTACAAAAGCCCTATGGGCTATGCAAGAAATTTGAGTTGGATGGTTTCAGGCAAAAGGAAAAACAACCCCTCAGATTAGATGGAGAATTGCAACAGCAGAATAAAAGTGGAAAAAGAGAACATTCATCTGGAAAGGATGATGCAGATATACAAAAAGAAGAATTCTAAAAAGAGGGTATCATATTTCTGACCACAATATATGGATGAAAAGCACGAACCATAAAGGAACACGATAATAAAGAGGATTACAGCTTTCGAAGTGACAGGTTATAGAAGAATTCTAAGAATGTCATGGAGACAGAAAGTAAAGAATGGAGCACTCAGAAGGATAGGTCTAGAAACGCAAATACTCCCCAGAACGCAAAGAAACTGATACTGAACTACTTTTGGCAGATCAAACGCCATGATTCATCCGAGAAACACAATCTAGAAGCAAAGGTGGAAGGCAAAAGAGGAAGCGGGAGACCCAAGAAAAGATGGAAACAGAACAAACAGACCTGGATTAAAACCAAAACAATCCATAAAGGCAGAATAGCTAAAGAGACAGAGTGTTTTATTGCAGAATGGTCCGAGAAAAGTGGAGGGAAGAGTTGGTTGGGATGGAGGGCACCTTGGTTAAAATGTGTTCTCTTTCTCCCCCTCTCTGTGCCCCCTCTCTCTTTTTTTCTCTCTCTTTCTCTTTCTCTCTCTCTCTCTCTCTCTCTCTCTCTCTCTCTCTCTCTCTCTCTCTCT